CTTGATAACTTGATACCCAATGTTAGACCTATCAAACAAACTAGCGGGATCTCTACATCTACCTCGGATCCCACGCTGGTTACATCAAAGACCTCATTCTCACGTCCAAGGCAACAGCGCGTGTCATCTGCACCATCTACGGACGAGACTTCAGTCTCACGTCCAGATCAGCAGACTACGCCGCCCCTGACTTCGGATGAGATTGCAGGCTCACGAAGTACGAACGATGCAACCGCCTCACGTTCCAGTCACCGAGTGCGCCTACCTGTACGCTTTCGCGACTAACCGCCCAGTCAACTCTTCACCCTTATATTACATGCATGCTACACCTTTTCTCCTTTTCTTTGATTTTTTTTTGTATCCTGAGCCCACTCTTCTGACCATCACCCGTTTGGTACCGTCGACTCCAGTCAATTTCGGCGGGAGATGGCCTGATCACCCACGCCCTTGTCAACGCCCTCAGTCGATGTTCTGGTTCCCAATATGTCTGGCATACGTGTGGTCTCGCACTTAGTTGTTATGGTGGCTTCTGTTTTCTTGGCTCAAAGTGGTTCCGTCCTATGTCTGCAGCGTTTTCTGATCCGGATTTTTACGAACGCAATCTTCAGATCCTGGATACAAACCAATCTGGTGTGGTAAGCTAACTCAAGCAACAAATACAGCACGTTTTTCCTGGACCTTCGGCGGCAACTCGAGGATCAACGATCGCTTCCTGTTCTGCCAACTCTTTCGTCTTACAATCGCACGTTTGCCGATCAGTCCCACGAACGAAACCACTACGTATCGAAAGTGTAAACCCGCATCATTGGGGGGAGGGACTGTATGAAAAATTTCGAACCATGGTAGTTTGAACATTACAAGAATGAATGATGATAATAACAACACACTTTCGAACAGTTAACCCAACCAGCTATACGAGACTGAGAATGAGGAGAAATTCATCCAAGAAAGCCGAAAAATACTATATACAATTGATAGGTACATATTCGTCAATGATCCAAACAAAGAGTTCGAAGTTGTGATCTTAACCACAACAGCTTGCCTACAGTTTCATCTTACCAATATAAACATAAGATAACACGTTATGTGTATGGAATTTCTAGACCCATCATATTAAATATCTAAGCACACGATGTATACATTTCAAAAAAGAACGTGGCATTGAACGAAATCAAGGCAAATGTAAGCTACTCAAGTTAAATCGTTCAATTAAGAACTAGATTTCAATTATGATGACGAATATTGACCTAATAAAGAGTGGAAATAGATGAAATAAAGTTAAGTCATTAGCAATGTAAATAGTCTATTATATACGTCATGGACAGGAGTAGGTATGAGCAATTTCATCATCCAATAACAGATTACTTGAATATTTAAAGTGAATGTAAACAAAATGTTATTTTTTAATAGCTAGTAGAGAGTTATAGATATTGTATAGACAAAAAGATGAGTGGTCAAGATAAATAGTCCAGTGCAGGAATATATTTATTGTTCAAAACAATCAAACATTTACTGGCGATCCATCCAGATCGTAGATTATAATCACTTCAACATATTCATTCTGAGCTACATTCACCATCACTTTCTTCGATTTTGATGGCAGCAGAGATTTATAAAGCCATAAATTAGTAAATAAATATTGATTGATTAAATCAATCAGCTGTATTTCAAGCTAATCCTATGTTAATTCTATATGCTCTTCTCATCATCCGCTTTATGTTGCATATTTTATTATATTACTTACGTATGCTCAGTAACTAATACACTATTAGCACCCAGAGTGAAATGTGCCTCCGTTATCCTGTCTCACATTTCTAGATATTTACATGAATCTTCAATATATAATCCATTCATAATCTCTTAACTGTTGATCTCTACTTCCTGTACGTGCATTGAATACTTGTCTATTTGTAACAATCTCCGTAATTTACATGCATAGTTTTAATTTTTATTTACCGGATATCACTGTTGAGCCGACATAGCTATTGGGTTTTATAGAGGTTATTGTATGTATCCGAAGGGGTTTGATGGAGATTGTAGTAATTTCAATAGTTGAGATCATGTGTCAATTGAAGCTAGACCACCATTGTATGTGTATGTAAATAATCCTGGTATAATTATCGTAGGTAAAATCCCTTCTCATATAATAATTTCGCACATGTAACTACTTTAGATACCTCCTGAACTAATTTGTGTAAAATGCATTCCCCATGTTGTCGTTTACAATAATACCACCTTTATGTTGGATTATTAACATGACTCAGTGGTTTAGTTTGAAGCCTCAGATGAATTTAACACCATGTTGGGAAAGTAAGATATACATTGGGAAACACCATATTTTATCAAAACAGGCACATCGTACTTTATTGAATGAGTCAAAAAAATCATCGAGAAATACCATAGATATTCACGGAGTTTATTCAGGTATAAAATAACTGATTTGTTCATATAAGAGCCTTGAAAGAATGACTACAGTATATAGATCCTTGAAATAACAAAGCCTTTTAATTTCATCACGGATGTATTTGTGACAAAACGTTTGAGAACAGCTACCGAATGTTGTTTGGTGAACCATAGGACTAATATGAGCGATTTAGTGTCCTAGGTCAAAGATATACTGTTGACTGTACTGAAATGTGACGACAGTGAGGTGTTTCCTTGATATAATAGGCACCTAGAAGAATATTACCACTATAAAATAGTAAAAGAGGACTATAAAAGGTCGACCTTAAAAGTAGCACATCTCATCTTGTAATATGGCTTTTCATCGATATCTCATTTCTGCAGCAATTTGGAAAAACCTCCCGATCTCCTACATTGTACGTGTATTCCATGTAGCTAAATTAGTGGTTACTCTGGTTGTCGGAAGGGGCATCAGCCTCGTGACTTCCGAAGGAATTCGGCTTTCACCATGAGGCGTCATAACTCTTCTAAATGAAGACTTTCTGACTCTCAGGGTAGAGTTTAAATGGTTTGAACAATTCTTTTATGGTTAGCGTTTTTTATCGAGTTGGTTTTCTAGAGAATAGGGTCGCTAACCACATTCCCAACCCTCCTCCTTTATCCGCGTTTGGGAACGGCAGTAGCCCCAGAAAAGCACCAGGCGGAGCTGGGTCGAATTCAGTCAGACATTATAAGTACGTATTTAAGACATCCAAAATTACTCATAAAATATTCCTATATGAATGGCGTTAAGCAGTTATTCCTTGTATTTATGCTCCAAAGTCCCCAAGAACACCTATAACTCAATTTACTTTCCAGCCACTTCGAGAAGTACCTTTCCGTAATGTGTCACAGGCCTTACGGTTCCAACAGTATTGGCTGGCAAATATACAAGAATAAATGTAAGCAAAGCAAAATGCATAAAGCACTGTCATATCTTATCCAGTATATATATATATATATATATATATATATATATATATATATACACGTGGTTAAAAGTAAGTAGGACATTGTTCAACAGTGTCAAAACACTGTATCATATTTTACCTACCGAAATAAGTCCTTCTAACCCATGCATAGATTTCTTTTCAATTAGAAGTGTGATTGGAAGAATACTTTACGATAATATTTTATCTTGTAGGAAAAACGTATCTTACACTGACTGAAAACTGAGATAATAAATTCCATGTTTGTGCAAATATAGAACAAACATTTTAGTGTAAGTAATTTCAGTATTATGGTAAGTTAATTGCAATCAGGATAGCTTATTGACATCTCTAACTGTGACTCTGAATGATTTGTGGGATACTGCCCGGGCGCCCAGACTGTAGTGGGTGGTTTTCTTAGAATGTCATTCCCCAAGTTTTTGACCAAGAGGTCTAATGCAAAAGACAGCGGAGCAACGTTAGGAGACACATTCCCATGGTAGCCGGTCACCGACAATAGGTTCATACGCCATTTGTTTCCATAAGATCCTGGAGCTCATGTACTCCATTGTTTTGAAATCAGGGTTTTCCAACTAACCTACACGGATCATTCATATCCATCAAACAGGTCAAAGCAGTGAGCATTCGTTTCGTACTCTGAATTTCGTGAACAACACACCTGCCAGGAGAATGCAAGGTAGCGATTTCTTGGCAGCGGTTTTACACGCGTGGCCACGTGAAGGCATTACGGGAGGTAAGGGACTCTCCTCAACCTTATACCAAAGATGCGCTGATCAGCAGAAGGCTATGCACCATATTGTTTATAAACTATCCGTACATCGATTTGGCCATTACATTTTGAGCAATACGTCTATTCATACAATTCAAAGTCGAAATTTATTTGATTTAAAATGCCACAAATGCAGTTATATTTGTGATAAAAGGAGTCATCTTGAATCTCTTGAACACGACTAAAGAGGATGTCACCCGATTAGGAATAGTATTTTGATAGTTGTCTTACTTGTGATTAATGAATTGGATTGATTTTTAAAAAGCCGAATCACCTACAGAGATTATTTTTTGGCATTGTCACTTAAATGTTATTCTAAAAATTTGTTCTTATTTGTGCATTATAACTTGACTAGTCGTGAATGAGACTTTTTTATCGCGTAATGTTTATTTCATACATTTCACTGACAAGTTGTGAAATAACCGTTTTGTTTATTGGTCGAAACAAGTTTTACCCGTACAGTCAATGCTGGACTAGTTACCTTTGTGTTTGTCTATGCTGAGTTGACTGATGAAGCTGAGTTTATTAACTTGAATGTCAGTTTCGTAACCTAAAATATCTATATATTCAGAAAAACCAGGACATTTCTTGACCCTAATCAACATTGAGTAGGTTAAATCGACTAACTTGACAACTGCATTAACGACAATTTATTTTTCACAACTATTACAGATAAGAGATGTCTAAAATTCGGAGTAAACTATAATTTAGAACAATAATGCAAAACATGGTCAGTGTTATCTATAGATATGACCTACTCCTTTCAGCAACATTTGCTTGAGTAAGGAGTTGATAACTAATAAGCACCACATGGAATTCGAATTAGCAAAAAACAAACCTTATTTCAACACATAATAGTATTACTTTAAAGATTCGATACTGTTTACAAACTGCTAGTAAATATATACAAAATATTTTTTAGGAAAACAAATAACAAAGTAAATAATGTCACTATTGTGATAGTCCTCGTTTACTTTCACCCTTTTTCCGTTTCCCTTTGCCACGCAATTGACGTAGACGTGCCATTTCTTCACGAAAATCTGCATGTTCATTTCTAAACAAACCCAAATAGCGTAGTTTTTGTAAAATATTACTATATTCTTCTAATGGAGGATAATAATCTTTTAAAATCATTGGGCGAGGTAATTCACTCATTATTCGAACAACTTTCATTGATTTGCTATCAACTTGTTTGCCAACATCTCTGAATATTCGTCCAGCAAGCATTGTCATCTTTTTAGCATACAATGAAGTCATCTAAAAACAATTGAAATCAAACACAAATGGGTAAGGACAACAATGGTCACCGTGTAAACCTAGAACACCGGCACAAATTTTCATGATTCAATTTGTTACACCTTAAAAGTCGTGAAAACGAAACTTAAGGCGATGTTATTCAACCTCCATATCTGTACAATACGACCATTGTGTAGATTAAAACTTGGTAATCTAGACTGGCTGACAGCCAAATTCCAAAGTTAATGAACCGACTTATTTTATTGGACTGATTTCATTCGATGCTTTGATGTATATTGCATTTCTAGCGAATTAACACCAAATCCACCGGGATTGAACAAAACAAAAATGAAGTAAAATATTGATTCCAAAAAAAAATCAGAAACGGTCAAATATCCCAATTACAATGTTAACGACACTACTGTGTGGAAAATATTTGGAGTGATCATTTGTGGCAAATGTTACTTGCCATTTGCAGCTAGAATAATAGCTCCCCATTAGTAACTAAATAAACCCGGTTGTATAAGATTTCAACACTACGACACAACTCAAATGAACCTTTTACGAAAAAATTTTCGGATATATTCCCTATTCACTTTAAGGTCTTTTAGGCCTAATATAGTTCGTAGCCATTAATGGCTACTGTATTATTCGGTTTGTTGAGTGGTAAGAAATCTTACCAGAATTCTTACCGAATAATACAGTTACAGTGTCTCAAGACACTAACATTTGGTAGACATGTAACACATAGTGTTCCCTGTTCGGGCAAATGTGGTGATTACAAGTCAGTAATGTTTTACCATGAATTCCTAGTAGTTTGCACAAGTATGGGGACTAGAGATTTTATTTACAAATATGAGTAACAATATAAAACCAGACCCCCGGGATGACCTTGTGAGTTGTAAACCCCAGAATAAAAGTATCTTCAACTTACAAGAATCAATATATGACGTCATCGAGACGAACTTGTTCAAACAGATTGATTTCTATGCTCCCACCCCTTGGTATTAAGATTTGGTTCTTGTTTCCTGATCTCTAGAGTACGGAAACATAATACTCCCCCCCTCACTCCAAAAGGATAAGGTCACTTTGGAGCGTATCCAACGGCGAGCCACGAAATCAGTTCGAGGACTCAAATCTAAGCCTTACGAAGAACGCCTCCGTTCACTAGACCTTTACCCACTAGAATATAGGCGTCTTAGAGGTGATTTATTAATGGCTTATAGTATTCTTAACACTTCTGGACATCCTCTTAAACACCTACTTAAGCTTAGTTCGAACAATAACCTAAGGGGTAACACCCAGAAACTGGAGACACAACATAGCAAGACGGAATGTAGACACAACTTCTACTCCTTAAGAGTTGTCAAAAGCTGGAACTCGCTGCCGGCCGAGCTAGTCCAAGCGACTTCTCAGGAGTCCTTCAAGAGGAAACTTGACCTATTCTTAAGGACCAAGGACAGCATCGCACTATGATTTACCAATTTCTTTTCCTCTTTTATTGTTAACATACCTAGGTTCCTGCCTGGAGGATTTGGTGATCCCTTGCTACTAGACACGGAAGCCTGTTAAGCGAAAGCTTCTTCTATTCCGTCCACAACCATTTGAACCATTTGAACCATCTTTCAATATGGATGGCCTAGAAACTTGGCTGTACTTATCCTAATGAACATACTAGTTGATTGGGAATCAATGACTCTAGAGTATAAATGAATACGTTTGTTCTGTAGAAAGTAAGGTTTCTAGTGTCATTAACTATGTTATCACTGGGCAGGAGATCTTTTGGTTGCAACACGAGGGATTGTAAAGCTAGAATGTAGTTGAACAGAGATGGGATTGGTCCTCATGATATAATGTCGTCTGTCTAGATAAAAAAAGTGATGAACTGATGTTCATTGAGAGATCAGTGACGAATATTAAGAGCTGAAATGAAACCTAATGAGTTCCGAGACATAGATGCCCCCAAAATTTATTCTACTTTGCTGATTTTAGTGATGTAGCGGTAAATAAATCCCTAAAATAAATAGCTCTGTAAGTTTCCGACATTGGATGCTGACCATATGTTTTAGTAGACTCATCTAGCTGAAGGCGCTCGGTCAGGCATCCGCACCAGATCACGTGTGGTAACGCCGTGCTCAACATCAACCGCAATCGCTAGCCAGATTAGATCAGAGAATTCCGTTATATTGGTCATCGCCAAATATACTCTTCCGATCTCCTCGACTCTGTCTTTTGATTTCTCTGGGTGGGAACGAAATACATTAGAACGTGTTACTGGTAGAAGCGTTGTCAAACACTGAATACCTGTGACATCATCAGTGAGAAATGTCCGGGAGTGATGTATATTCGTCGTCAGTTTTAAACGCTTCCGTAGGACCTGGAATAAAATGTATAACGTGTGAGCCTATAGATTATGGACGTATCAGTTAGACTGAGCACAGAAAGTTTCTGATCTTGACGAGAAATCGATTCATGTATATGGCTAAATAGCATCTTGTCACTCTAGATGACGTCAGTTCATTATGAAAACACCAACCATAATTCCTTACCTTATCCCTCGCACCGATTTATAACCTTCTTTTAAACCTGGTAGGTAAGTAAATTTTATCATGATCTCTTTGGTGTCTCTGAGAGACCTTCCATAAATGATGGTCTCATCGAAACGTCAGTTTTGCACTGCAGAACGTTAGGTTATGAATGTAGTAAGCCTTCACATTTACCAAAATGTTATTCGAAGTACATCGGAGAGCAAACAACTTGCATTCATAGCAGCCCTGGTAAGGTAAAATTTCAAAATAAAAAAACCCCAGTGTTTTATTTCTTCTTGTTCACTTAATTTTTCACTTACTACTTAAACTATTTCCACAGTCTCTACTGTGCACATATTATTCAAATGCAAATAAACTTCACATTATCAAGTCAGCAAACTATATTGCAGTATGTAATTACGACAGAAAGTCTTATTTGACTAGTAAAACGTTTCTCTCCTTCCAGCCTAAATGTCACGCATTTTCGCCTAACGAACTTTTCGACCCAATGAACTTCATTCCCGAAACGTATACATGAAAAAGACATTTCTGTGCAGCAATATAAATCACTGTCCGGAGAAAAGTCAGGCTACCATTTGTTGCGTGGATTACCAGCAGCGTGTTCTGATTGCAAACTCAATATGGATCCATATACACCTGCTGCGGCTGGAATTACTAATCAATGCCCGATACTCATCGTGAAAGAGTATGGGCTTTCCGCCAGCACTCGCTATCAAATCCTTATACAAACAATCCTCTCCTGTTCTTTCCAGTTGTTATTCGACCTTTCCATATGTGGTTCCGATTCTTGACGTAATGTGTTCCTCGACCTTCCTCTCTTCCGGTTCCATTCAGGATACCAAATTGGCGTTTGCCTCGTGATGCACTTGGGAGATTTCAGCAGTATATGTCCAAACCACTTGTAATGTATTTACCTGATATACTCCTCATTTGTAATCTGCTTTGTCCGCACTCGGGGTAGTCTGTTGCTGATGGTATGTAGTGGCATTGGACAATAGCCACATAATCCACAAAGCTGTGAACACGAGACTACACAGAAAATAGATATTCAATATTTAACGCGGAGAAATACCCAACGATGGAGAAGGCGCGAACAATGAATTGAATGGACTGGAGTTGATCGAGTGGCATGGCTCGGCCATGCAGGCGTGGTCTCTGCCGAATGTAACCTTATATCTTCTGTTCATATTAAATATATTGCCTAACCTTGTTCTACATCATGTATTGGTAATTGATACGATACAGTGAGTTGGTGTAGTCGATGGTGTGACTTCCACGTAAGATCTTATAGATTAGGCAGTTATATCATGACAAATCTACAAATTTAGGATTAGGTCTATTATTAAAGCAGTACTAATATCATAGTAGACCACAGTTCTACAGGTATGCAGATAAAGTATATTGACTATGTTTCGTAGAAAATAGTTTATTGACACTTACATTTTTGGTTATGGTTTTGATAGTTCTCTGGTTTTCAGCTCCATCCAGTAAAACTATCTTGACGTTCGTATTGAAGATTCTCACGTTGATATTGGCTGACAGTCGTTTTGAGTTCCATATGTTCTTCAACCGTAGAAATGTTGTCCTTGCTTTGCTCAACCTTGCCTTAATGTATGTATCAGATCCTCTCTGTTTATTGATGATGCTGCACAGGCACGTGGAATATTCCAAATCTTCCTGGAATCTCCCTATCCGTATTCAGGCGCGTTATCCATTGCGCCACAGGCCCCTGGACCCAGCGGCTCCCTTGCTCACATTTCATTTCTTTCGCATCTTCATCAACTATCCTTCTTTCCAGCACGTGTTCTTCGTCCCAAATCCTTCTTAACAGAACGTGTAGGCTCTTTACAGTTACTGTTGTGTCTGACTTCAGTGTTTCAACTGGTATGTTTTCAGGTCCTACTGCTTTCACACTCTTGATCTGTCTGGTGGCCATGCTGGTTTCTTCGATCGTTGTTGGAGTGACGGCTATATTATTGTTATTCACAAACATCTTATGGGTACATAAGTTTGGTGAAGAAACCCAAAATGGTTTCTTCACAAATGCAATAATTCATAAGTTTCAATAATAATAATAATAATAATTTTATTCTTAATTAACAGTTTGTTACATGAGGCATGCCAGTTTACAGGCAAGATCAAATTGATACAAATGATACAATATACACTGTAGTAAATTACATAGCTTGGTTGATAATTTATAAGATATGAATGTAGATGGTTTTAATCAGTACTACAGTTGGAGCGCTTCACGAAAGTTGCGTTGAGAATGTGCAACTGATGGTCAAATATAGGTCCATGAAGGTGGGAGCTTCTAAATGTCGCAACCTTATGTCCCTTTGGAATGTCTAAGGCTTTGAGGATGGTGCAGGATGAAATCTTTCTTTCCATATCACAAGGGGGCTGAAAGAGGGAGCAAGTAAAAGAAAGGACGAGAGGCAGAATAGCCAATATTCATGAAGAAATGTTTAAGGTATGATTACTCAGTCTAATTTTCTTTTATTAAGGTATTTGTTAAGAAAGAGCATTCTAATAGGTTAAAGAAAATAAGTGGTAACAAGGTGTGAGTGGACATACAACTGACAAATGGAGGCGATTCGGAAAGGAGCTGAGAGTATGGAATTATGTGTGATTATAAAATAAAATATAGTGCTAGAAACAGTATTGTGATATACAATTGGCTGTCTTTTTTTATCGAAGCTATTAGAGCCCCTTTCTTTTTTGTATTTTTTTTCAGGTATTATAAGGTCTTGAGTAGGCTTCGTATATTAGCGAATTGTCTAGTTTGCTTGTAATAGGATTACTGGGTAGGAAGTGAAACCAATTCAACATTCGTAACACGATTTAAAGAGGTATTTTGCGTGATAAGTCAGCTTCAATACCATATGTTCTGCCCTACAGACATGGGTGGATTGAATTTATCTCCCCACCATCATGTTTGCTGGTCAGTAACGCCACCCTCCCTCCTTTTGTGATGTTAGGCTCTCTTACGTTTGTGGTAAGTATGAATACTGCTTTAATCAAAGCCCATAGTTGGAATGCACTGTCTCTACTAGGTCCATGTTACAAGCAAATCAGATAGTTGAAAAGTCTTTTATGGGTTAGATGTCCATATAGTATATGTAACAGCTAAGGTTGGTTGGTTCAGAGATGACCCCAAACAACCAAGCATATGCCAAAACAGTATTGTTCAAGTATTCATTCACTTCTTTGTTTTGTATAAGCGTTATATTCCCTATTATCTTATATTGACT